TTATTTTCATCAAAAAAGAAAACAGCTTGGCAGCATGTGTGCTGTGAGAAAATGCATCGCCTTGGAAACTGAACTTTGATTAAATATACTATATATTAAACAATATCACTAAGCCATGAACCATTTGCATCAGTGTTTACACACAGACTAACTGATTCACAGTCAACTTTATTGGCCAAGTATATGAAGTATATTAAGCATACAAGAGATTTTTCGAGCAGCTCTCAGAGTATTTTAATACAGATGCGTGAATAAATGTAAAGAATTAAAGATATAGCGTAAAAGCAAGGACAAGTAAAAAGTCATTCTAAATGATTATTGGAGGACAGAAAGGTGTTTCTTTTTTTTGCTTGTTACATATGTTTTTCTTCCTTTTCTTGTAGTAATGTGTTCTTATCTAGTATTCTCTGAATTTTACATTCCTACCTTTGTCTGTCTCACATCCTCTCTGCAGCCACAATGCATCATTTATACCGTATTTTTTACATGTCATAGTGTTTTCTTACAGTATTTTATACCTGCCCATTTTATCCATGTTGCCTTTATTCTGCCTTTGCACACGCAGTAACAAACCTCTTCTCCTTTATGGCATAAAATGATGTCATTATTATGGAGGTCATTCTCAAGGACACTGTGACACATTTCTCCATCAATCCCTCTTCTAATAAGAGCATGATAATTATCCACATTTTATCCACTGATGGGTTATTATTCATAGAGTTACTCCACATCCAGCCTAGTCCCCATCTCTCTGTTCTTCTTGTTCTCTTGCTCTTGTGCTCTGTGAGTCACACCTCAACACACACACACACACACACACACACACACACACACACACCCTCCCACCACACTCTATTTCCCTTTCAAAATGGTGAAAGCTGAAAATAAATGTTGAAGCTATTGATTTGCTTTTTTGGGGGGTGGCGGGATCAGCATCATCATCATCATCATCGAATTGTGTTGCCATGGTAACTTGTTTTGGACACTTTAGCACACAGTGAAAGAGGGAAAAAAAGTTGAGGCAGACAAGTGTAAATGGGGGGAAGGGAGTGTGTGAAGGGACCTGCTGAAACACCTCAAAAAACGACCTTCAGCTTACTATGTGTATTTTTAAAAAACACCCTTTGTTTCCCGCACAACGCTGACGAACCTACTTTTCAAGGACATTTAGAGGTCATCTCGTTATTTCGGTCTGCACACACACAAATACACAGGCATGCGTTCGCTTTAACACAAAACACACATACGAAGCGCACAGAAACTGACACCCACTTACTTATTCACACTTTCTCTGAGGTTGAGAGTTGCGGGTATTTCCACTCAATGAGTGGGATGCATAGTGTTTCCATGGAGATCTATTTTTAGTTGCTGACAAAAAAGGGCAACTGTTAAAATATGCCATCATGTTCCCTCTGAGTGCAAAAAAAAAATCTAATTTAGTTTCATGCAGGTTTTTTTGTTTTGTGTTTTTTTTACAGTTCTTTTTCCTGTCCCTTGCATTTGGAATGACAATGTTAGGCCGGTGCCATTTGCCAGTGTGGATTTTGATCTCAGGTCCTGCTGCTTTTGACTGATAAATATATTGCCAGGCATTTAGTATATGAGAAGAGTCGTCGGGGAAAGGTAGAATTGATGCATTGCTAATAATCCTCACTGGGAACTGAAAAACTGCTTAAAATGTTTTCTGATCACAATGAGCTGAAAATGTTTTTGGAGCCAAAATCTCTCTTAGGTTACAGAAGTTTGACTGCTTATCTTAGCCCTGAACCAGAATACCAAGAAAAGTCATTACTGAGTAATAAAATAATCAAAACGTTTATCGGAGTGGGAAAAAAACAACGAAAAAAAAGGATTTATTGTTGGTATATTAATGACATTTCCCTTTTCTTTCCCAAAGGATGTTTAAACAATACTGTTTAGTTATCTTATCCCACTATTCCATGAGTATTGTAGACATAAAGTGACTTTATGTCTACAATAAAGTCCGGTTTCGGGTTGCTGCTCATGCGACTGACCGGCCAGCTACCTAGTCTGACCTGTCTCCCCAATGTGATGTTTTTGTATTGTATGTACGGTTGGCAAGGTCAGTCTCTCAATTGCCCCTCAGGGATAAATAAAGTCTTCTGAATCTGAATCTGAATCTGAATTTATTTGTGTAGCACTTTACACACAAAATAGTTCAGACAGTATTACAGAAGGAAACAGAAGAGGAATAACAAATAAAAAACATTGTAAAAATGAAAACACGTTTGTTTAACAAGTAAATGAAGAAAAAACAGACACATGATCAAACACAGCACATAGAGGTTATATAAAGATATCAGCTGTTAAACGGGAACTGCTTACGTTTGGCATAGCTACGGGCTAATGACTCTTTAAATAGCAGTGGAATTGGAAAATAGCGGAGGAAGAAGGGCTTTACAGTCTTAGAGGTAACACACTTTAGTGCTTTGTAGACAAACCTCCGTGTTTGGTACAAACAGTGAGGTGGAGTAGTGTTGGGGTGATGGAGACAGAAGGGCTACTGAAGTTATGAAGACAGCGGAAAAATGAAAATGAAATGAAACCATAAATGCCTTTCATAAAAGCAGAGAACTGTTTGACATTTGATTTAAATACCTTGGGGTTTTTTTGCCATTCGTTCATGTTCTTTGCATGCTGTTGACATTATAGCTTGTTGTGTTTGAGTTTCATTACTTGGTAATGAATGGTCACACAAAGACTCCTTTGCAATCAGCCTTGATCCTTTCTGAGAAAGTTGTGACTCATTTGTGTGTCACCACAGTTTAAACTGCCTCCACTGCCCAAGCAGTTAGTTGGGTAGACTGACAGCATTTACATGGCAAGCAATATTTCATAAAATGCCAAATAGATGTTTTTCTGTAAGCAGTATTGTAATCAGTGATCCAGGAATGAAAGATAACTAAGCAGAGGCTTTTCCAGGAAACACTGAGTATTTAATGACTGGAGAGATTGATTACAGTGTAGCTTGCATTTCAAGGGCATTTAAGGAGAATGTAGTTTAAAGTTTTAACAAGGTTAAAGGTCATTTTAAACCAAAGTAACGCCACAAAGAGTTTTGCCTAATACATAACAGGTCAGATATCATCTAAGTGAATGCTAGGATTATTATATGCATCCATTGTTTTATCATATTTATTTAAAAAAAACATATATCACTGCAGTATCAGCAGAAATTGACTTTTTTTAAAAGATAGAAAGGGTTCATGTAAATATGTATTTATAAACAGCGTTTATCTTTGTGTGTGTGTGTGTGTGTGTGTGTGTGTGTGTGTGTGTGTGTGTGTGTGTGTGTGTGTGTCTAACCAACTGGAACTGGCTAAAGCCCCTGTTATATGAGCTCTACTCTTATTGTTTGATATTGCAAGCAACTGCAGGCATGCTTGGCCAAGCTTATTAAACACACACGCACACATGCACACACACAAAGCTCAAGCAGTCGCTCAAGAGTCACGAGCTTATACTCACACACATGTGCGCACACAAGCACATACACATGCTTGTGTAAGATGTGAGGCAGGATGCTGTGGAGATCAATGGCTGTACATGCTAGGTTTTCTCAAGAGACAATTAAAAGGGAATAGATAATGAGGCTATTTATAGACTGATCTATTTGTAACCGGGGCATTCTCCATCGTAAGAGCTGGGAATTGTTCTCTTTCCTGCCTTCCCTCCTTTTGTTCCCATCTCCTGCCTCTCTCCTACACCGTCTCCGTTTTGTATATTTTTGCTCCTTTCTTTTTTTAACAGCTCTGTCATCATTTCTCGCTTCTCCTTTAGTGGATGACCACTTATTTTCCACAAATGTTAGTAATTTATCGCAGGGAATCGGTGCGCATTTACATGTGAAACATTGTCATGCAGCAGCAATGTTATCAGGTGCAATCCAGGGCCACTCCTGGGAAACCCAGTGACGCACTACGCATGACATAATGCTGTGGTAATGTCTGCATTCGTGGGGGAAAGAGACAGAGAGAGCAACCGTGAAAACACACTGGGCTTATGTGCACGCTCAGCAAACACCGAACAGCAGCCGGGTAGATTAATGCAGCTTGATGTAATGTCTGTAATAAATCCGATTTTATAGATGAACATTTATACATATATCAAGTTTAACATGTTATACACAAATTTGAAGGCCATTATGTAAGCGAAGAATGCTGGTAAGAGATACAAAATCCACCACAATGCTTTTTTTTCATATCATCCCCTGAATTTGATCCTCTCAAATCAATAAAACTGTACAGACCAAAACCTTTTTGCATAGATCTTAACCTTCTATAATGTCCATATTATTAGCGCTATAATGTTCAACTGTGGCTCTTGTCAAAGCATTGAAATTGTTGTAATTTGGGCTCGTGTACGAGAATCATTTTCTGGGCTGTAATCTAAAAGTAAACTGTGCCTCAAGCAGCCTGTATGAATTTCTTCACATAAAAGAGCAAAAGATATTTATGTGCAGTAGTTCATGGCATACGAGGAGGTGGATGAGGTCGAGGCATAAGGTCCTTATCTCCCGAGCAGAATTATATAAGGAATGCAGAGCTGTAGTCCACCGTGACTCAAACTGGTAATTAGAGATATTTTGTTTGTGGTGCTATGTTATGCTATTAAAAAAAGATTGCACATTTTCCCATATCTGTGTGGATTCTCTCCAGGTACTCCTTCTTCCTCCAACAGTCCAGAGTCATGCAGTTAGTGGGGTTAGGCTAACTGGTGATTCTAAATTGCCCATAGGTGTGAATGTGAATTGTTGTCTATCTCTCCGTGTTAGCAGTGTGACAGATTGGCAGCCTATCCAGGATACTCTGCCTCTCACTCTATGGCAGCTCGGATAGGCTCCAACCTTCCCACAACCCTAAATTGGATAAGCAAAATAAAATTGATGGATGCATGGATGGATGGATAAAGCATCCACGCAACATTAACTCTTTATCTGCTTCTGTCTCCCTATCTATTTCTGTGTCTTCCATTTTCAGGTCTTGCAGGTGCCCAAACTGACCTGGACAAGAGGAAAGAAATATTTGGTAAAAACCTGATACCTCCAAAAAAGCCAAAAACCTTCCTGCAACTGGTATGGGAGGCCCTGCAGGACGTTACCCTCATCATCTTGGAGATCGCTGCCCTGATCTCCCTGGGTCTCTCTTTCTACCACCCTCCTGGGGAGACTGGTGGAGAGTGTGAGTGAAACAGCTCCTGTGACTTTAAAGTCTGTCCATTTTTGCTCTGCGCCATTATCTGTGGTATCTTCTCTGTTGCGGGGAATGGAAGTGGGGCTATAATTGTTCTGGCGCACTGGCATCACTTCCTCTGACCTGACTCGCCCGGGCTAACGTGCTTACACCTACATGTTTGCACACACACTTTTTAATTGGCGAGGCTGGTCATACTTTGTTTGTGGCCTTGCCTCAAGAGGTCAAGTGACTCATCAAGCATAGGGCTAATTTTTGGTTGTGCGTGTGTGTGCTCGTTTGTGCAGATTATGACTGTGTCAAATGTGTGTAAGAAAGGTACTGGGAAGGTTAATGAAGTGTTGAGTAGAGAAATAACCTTGAGCTCCCAGGGCCCATACATCAGCCTTGTGAGCCGTGAAACAGGAAATGAAGACAGAGACCATAACGAGGTGCTGAGTCAGCTACATCAGTCATTGCGCCCTGCCTTATCACAGTAATGGAATTCAGTTACCCTGCCAAAGGGACAAGTCATCATTTTAGGGGGTTTAAAAAGTCTCATCAGGCTGGAAACATTAGAAAATGAAGAAGTGGTTACCATTGCATTAGTTGGATGTGTTTATTTAGTAATTTCACAGTTAATCCATGTTTAGTTGTTTGAGCGTAGCAAACAATACATGATTTACTAACTCAGTCAAATAATTACACTATAAATTTGCCTAATTGGAATCTGATCATCAGTTATGATGTCAAGACACTTGCTTCTGTTCTCTGTGTCGTTTTAGCTGCTTAGCTTTATGAATGAACTCTGTATCAAATAAAGCAAAGAGATGCCGAGGGTATCGTAATGCTAATAACTGCACTATCTGTAGATACATTATCAAGCTTCTCTTTAACCGGCAGCAGAATAGGTGCCAGTGTGCAAGTCTCTTTTCACAGATGATATGAATATGTATGGATGTAAATCAGGGACCTAAACTGTTATGAATAGAAGCCAGTATCAGGGCTATTGAGATAGATATGAATTCAAAGCATTATGTCTCACCAAATTCAGAGAAATCCCAAATGAATATGTGTTTGTGTGTTACAGACAAAGGCAAAGATGGACATAAGGTCATAGAAATGGAAGGATACTTAGAGATTTAGATCTCTCACAAAATGTGAGAACAAAAACAAGGATGATAAGGAGGATAATAATGAAAGAATAGTCCACAGAAATGATTTGGATTGATGCAATAATTTCTTTCTTTTTTTTCAAATTTGACCAAATAAAATGGCAGAAATACTACGTATAAATTAAATTAATGCAGTAAACTGCATTTTAAAACAAAAGAAAACCAATTAAATATATGTGATAAGAAAATATTGCATTTCTTCACCTATACATTTGTTCATATACATATACCACAACAAAGAAAGTCTGACGACAAGAAAACATATTTATGGCTTGTGTGTGCTTGTGTGTTGGGGAACTAATACGACCCCCCCAATCTGATCACACGCCATCAACCCACACATCTCTCCCTGCTCGTTTACTGTTTTTATAAATAGATCAAAAAAGCTCAACGGTCCAGAAATAGAAGCTGGTGGGATGACTTAATGCTCATTTCCATATGAAAAAGATTCACTGCAGTTGAATCAGAAGGCTCATTATTATGTCTAAGCACATAAGATGCAACATAGGAAAACTTTGAAAGACCCATATAGAAATCAGCATGATTAAGCAAAATGTGAAAGTGCCTTTGGAGCATATAGAAATCCACCCATTCATCCATTTTCTTAACTACTTACTCAACTGGAGTTCATTCTAATAGTAATAAGGCAAGAAGGAGAGTACACCCCATGCAGATCACTAGTCTGTCACAGGTTTGTGCACATTTATTTAATCATGTTCATGACAAGGTCAGCTGCAGTAGATGCAATATTTTGCTCTGCGTCTTTTTCAGATGCTTTAGTGTTTTGCTGCATTAGTGTGTGAAGAAACGTCATTTCAGTACCATGGACAGCTACTCACTGACCGTGTTACCATCAGTGTCTTGCCAAGCAGGATAGACCGAACTCAGTATGACCACAGTTACAAAAAAAGAAAAGGGAACGAAAACTACTGCAGGACTATTTGATGATTTAACAATGTTCTTTAAAAATAACAAAGTACTATTGAATTGCTTTAGATCAGATCAGTGTTTTTATTCATTTTGTTCTTAAAAGCTTTATTGGGTACTTTTTTGTTTGCCTAACACGCCCATGTCAAAATATGCACACTGTTGCATTCGTAAGTATCAAGCTGTCTCTCACAAAAAGAAAACATAAAAATCACAGGATTTCTTGTGAGGGGGCATTTGTCCCTGCTAAACTACATAAAACTAAATACCATGTTTGTCTAAATTTGTTGATCGTAGCGAGTACATAGTGTATGGTTTTGTACGTTTTTGTGCGTACTGATGGAGTACAAATCAAGGAGGCTATAATCTGTTAATTAATGCAGTGTATCTACTTAATGAACATCATATTGATTGGAGTCACTATGTTGCATACTAGTTGGTCCAAATTGCTTCTTAGAGTCTGGTTTTTGGTTAAAGCACATCCTGCATATGTAATGTCTGTAACATGGGGTTTCTGCTCATTCCCTTGTGAGCTGCAAGTGTTTTACAGTGCAAAGCAAATCGCTCCGCTGTGGGCTTTTGAAGTCCGCTAGCCAGGAGTGTGCAGCTCAATAGCTCCGAGAGAATTACATGAAGCTGCACAAGGAGGGCTGGGAATAGGCCTTGTTTCATTCTCATATATACCCCAATCTGTCAGTACACAGCCAGTAGAATGCAGAGCCGTGTTTGAAGTAAAACAAATATATCAAGAGAAAGAAGAAGTAAGTACACTTAAGGTTTTTTCAAAGAGAGTTCATGTAATTTCACAGTCATTGCTCATATTGCACATACAAATAATTTCCATAAGCCAGTTCATAAGGAATAGATTATTAAATAAATCTAAAATATGTACGTCATCTGACCTTGTCACTGCCCACACTCTAGCATCAACCTGAAATCAAGAGAGCGTTTTGAATGAGAGTACAAGCTTCCCCCTAAGAGGGAAGACAGATTTAGAGCCTACATTTGAATGTTGCTGTTGGGGCTGAGCCTGTGAAATGCTGTCATCAGTCGTATGAGGAATAATTGGCTATAGTTTTCAGGACTGCAGTGTGTGCAGACAGGCATCAAAGAGCGTTATGCGTTTTTTTTTAGGAAGCTCCAACACTGAATAATGTGGGAAAAGAAATTTTTAGATTGCAGTATTTTCACAGATCAAATACTCAAATTTCATAAAGGCTGTTAATAAGTTAATTACTAAGGACTGTATACCCTTACTCCTTTTTAGTGTGAAGGGAAGTTGAGTTGAGTTCCCAGAACTTGCTGACATTGAGGCTCAGCATAATTTATATGCACTGCAATTGCAAAGACATTACACACACAGTCACAGCTGTGTTTATGTGCAGCTTCTCTGTTTCCAGTTTGAGCTTTGATTACATCTCTTTGTATATTTTTCTGAAGTGTTCATTAATAGTAAATGTAAATACCTGTGTATGAAATTGTTGATTTGATTTGTGTGAACAGAGTACGTCAGCATTTATCCATGTACAAAAACGCAGTGTGCTTACATGTGCATGCATATCTATCTATCTATCTATCTATCTATCTATCTATCTATCTATCTATATACACACACACACACACACACACATATATACAAACACACACACACACACACACACACGTGTGTGTGTAAATATCTAATGTATCTAATATACTTTATTTGACTATGCTTCTCTTTTCTGTCACTGTTCTGAAATTGCAGCCTGTGGCGCAGCAGCAGGTGGAGTAGAAGATGAGGGTGAGGCAGATGCTGGCTGGATTGAGGGTGCCGCTATCCTGTTGTCTGTAGTGTGTGTGGTGCTGGTGACGGCCTTCAATGATTGGTCAAAGGAGAAGCAGTTTCGTGGGCTGCAGAGCCGCATTGAGCAGGAGCAGAAATTCCAGGTGGTCCGTGGTAGCCAGGTCATCCAGCTGCCTGTGGCTGACATAGTGGTCGGGGATATCGCACAGATCAAATATGGTAGGTGCAACAAAACTGTCAAGATTACAATAATTAATTATGATTATGGACCAAAACTAATCAAACTTCCTAGAATATTTTGATTAGTTTGGCTTCGTTGGACGTGCTTACTGGCTACCACAGTTGGCTCTGTGTAAAGTAATTTTCTAGGTTCATAAGCTGAAAATAGACTACAGCCTCATTTCCAAAAGGGGATTAAAGTTGTGAAGTCCACCTTAAGCAATTAAACATAGTTAAGCTACATTCACGCAATTAATTAGCTGCAGACTGACCCCATGCATGCTGAGCAACACATGCACATCTTCAAGTTCCATAATGTGAGTGACAACTGTCAGTAATGCCTCACAATGGTGCACAATAAATGTGGTTATCCTGAGTGAGCCTGTTTTTTTTTTTTTAGTACTTAGAAAGCAACAAAGCCTCTTTCATTGTTGCAGGTGATCTGCTTCCTGCTGATGGAGTGTTGATCCAGGGTAATGACCTGAAGATTGATGAGTCATCACTGACCGGAGAGTCTGACCACGTCAAGAAGTCTGCAGATAAGGACCCAATGCTGCTGTCTGGTATGGATTCAGTTTAGTGTAGTTTATGAATGTTATATAGTGTTTGTAACAGCCATTTTTTCCTGCATGTTGTTTGGAAAAACAAAACAACAAATAGACAAGTCTGGGGTTTTTTTCTGCCAGTGACAGCTTGAAAAACATTGTTTTTAATCAAATGTTTGTCTTTACGTATTTTGCTTTTTGCTGCAGCAGAAACAGAAGCGGGGTTCTTGGACTGCAGGATTATTAGAATTTAAGAATATTCCTGATAAGAGAAATGTGGGATAATCGGATCATATTAGTATGTTTTGCTGCAGATAATTAGCTGTGTGACTTTTTGCTGCCTTCTTTAATTACCCTCGTATTCACCTACACCAACTTATTTTCCCCGAGGTTAATGATGTTCTGTGTGCAAATACAAGTCTGGTACATTATTAGTGTGTCAAACTTGCCACTTTAGCACATTTTATATAAAATGAAAGAGAGTTTAAATTATTACTCGTGATTTTTGAAGGACTCTGTCTTTAAGATGTTTGAGATTTTTAATCCCTTTGACACATATAGCAGTCACCCATTTTTAGGTCAGTGAAGCCACTGATGTAAATTTGGATTCAATATGCACTTTTTCCTGGCTTCTCACTGTACTTGTGATCGATGAAAGCCAGCTTTGTGTTCTGGTTTGATTCTTGTTGCTTGTTAATATGTGTGATGTCACTGTCATGCATAAATGAGCAGAAGTGACAGAAGACCATAGGTGGCTGCACAGCATGGAGATTCCGAAAACATGTGGACAGCTCCTTAACAGCGGCATGCCCATCATGTCTTATTACATGAATCAAAGGCCTGACATCAGCTACACTGATATATAAGCCATTCTAAAGTAACAGTACAGGTAATGCAACAGGAGAGTGCTGTGTGACACAGCCTCCTTTAATCACAACAACCAATTTACCATCCTGCTGTAACGCTAATCATCAATCACATCAGTGTTTTCCTCCTCCTGAATCCCTCCAGCTGACCCAACACAAAATAAATAAATAAAAAATGTATCAGGCCAAAAGAAGAGACAAGCTGCAGCCTTGTGGTCCTGACAAACTTTACCACACATGATGCTTTCCTCTTACACTTAACTAGATTTGAGCCCACTGGATATAATGAGAAGGATCAATCTTCAGTCAGGAAGCATGACACACCCGCTATGCAACATGTCACACTCCATACTGGCTAGTTATGAACATAAGATTAGAATGTTAAATAGAAGCAGGACATAATGTTACCCTCACCATAACCAAATGTAACCTTTAAAGCATGCCTTCACCTTACTTGCTATCCAGTGCGTCAAGACTCCCATTTTACCCGACTGAGTGCACTGGTCACTGTTAACAGTCTAACTCTGAAAGAATAAAAAAAAAAATACCAAATGCCAATCTGGACAGTTCCCAGTGGGTCTCAAGATTGCAGTATCAATCAACGTATTCCTCTTTTGCTCTCTATGCACTCTTCACATGGATACAGCTAAGCCCACTGTAACAAGATTAGCCAGTATTACTCTGTATATAAATGGAAGCCAGACAGTGTCTGCTGCTATAACCTTTTTCCTAGTCTACAGGTTCTGCATATTCATTGATAGATATGATTTTATCAAGATTGGGACATAACAAGATCAACTAACCTGTTTGTAAAACGCTTTAATGTTATTGATTGAGCAAGTTAGTCGCATAAGTCTTTGTAATAGGAATGAGCTGTTATAGAAATTAACAGTCAACCTTTGCTAGAAAAGCTCTAAAAAGTAACAAAACTGTTTATCTTTTTTTAAGTTACTGAAAGTATGCATATCTGTAATATAGAAACTGCTGCACTTTCTTTAGGGACCCATGTGATGGAGGGCTCGGGGCGCATGGTAGTGACGGCTGTCGGTGTCAACTCTCAGACTGGAATCATCTTTACACTGCTGGGGGCTGGTGTGGAGGAAGAGGAGAAAAAGGAGAAGAAAGGTAAGATAATTTGATCCTTATATAATCTTCTTATATATAACCTGCTCCATACTCAGGAGTACTGAGTAATTTGTTTTTGTGTCAGTGTTGCCCAGCAACATACCCCTGAAAACAAGCTTTTCTCATTTCATTACCTTATGTTCTCAAAGTCTGTATACCTCATTGCACAATGTCAGTGTTTTAACTGTCTTTGTAAACAGAGGGGTTCTAAAGAATGAACTCACAAGTGGACAAATGTCCACCTTTTGTAGGCGTTTGTAGTACAGTATTCAACACTAAGTGAATGTGTATAGATACTGTATGATATCAGTATTGGTGGCTCAGTAATCAGCTGCAGTATGCAGGTTCTGTGGGTTCAGGTGCATCATTGTCCTTACTCTCTTATCGTTCCAAATTTGCCTCGAAGGAGGGGCAGTGGAAGACGGACACCAGAATACAGGTAGAGTATCACCTTTCTCTGACCCCTGGGAGTGGTACAGTACTTGAACCTTTTGATCTTTAACCCCCTAATGCTTACCAGTAAACCACTGTTGCTAGACTACCCTTTTCTCTAACAAAGCAACCTTGCTTCTGTTAAACTCCTCACTTAAAAAGAGAAGCATCATAATCACAACACTGCATCTTTTTAAGTGTTGATAGATAATACATTTCACAATGCATAATCCTCTCCTCATATAACAGGCTCTGCACTCATCAGACTAACTAGCTAGCATCCAGCACAAGCCCTGCTTCATAGACGTGTTGAATGCCATGAATAAGAACGGGCTTTCAGACTCATCTCATTGCTGTATTACAGAACAATGATATGAGAGCAATAGCCTTGTGGGTGCACAACACATGTACCAGCAGTAGGGTGTAAACTAGTTAGTACAAGCTTGTATAAGATGTACTCTTTTACATCTTAATATGCATATGTGCACAGTTTATCCTTTTAGTAGTGTCTTTGCTACCACTTCCGTATTTTCATTTAATTAAAAATAGTTTGCATGGAAACATGTATTGATATTATAAAAGGGTAAAGATTTGTTAGATCATCCCTCCAGCTTAAATCTAATGCTGTGTGTCTTTTTAGTGTGATGTTTATAATAACTACAGTTCTTCAACAACAATACGGTTTTAGGTGCATCGCTGCTATGATATATATTCATTTACTTTTTTGGTTTTTATATATCTAATTTGATTGGCTAAACCAGGGGAAAAATTCTTCTATGATGATTCAAAATGAATAATAATTACTGATCAACAATGATAATTTGACAATTTCATGATCAAAATCATACCAAAATGTTGCCACACATTTGAATATCCTTTCGCATTTAATAATTGATTCACATTTGGTCTAAATAGTACAGCTCTGACAAAGTTAGGATTAAGACTTTTTAAAGAATCATATCTGCCAGATGTTGGGTGAGATGGATCTGCTGTGAAAATTTGAGACCAGAATCACAGAAGTCCTGTTTTTAAATGAGATGACTGAAAAATTAAGTTATAATGAAACTGACAAACATTTATGCACCACGCTTTGTTTTAATTTTGCTGAAACCAAAAGGACACTAAAACATAATAAAAATTTCCCATGTTTATCATTTAAAAATAGCAACTATAACAACTACGGAAAATAAAAAAAACTGATACATTACTATGTTTCCTGTTAAAGATCATTAGTCTCTTCACTTAACTGGCTGGCACATGTGTGTTTCACTGGCTAATGAGGTGGATCCCTCTTATTTTTTGTTTAGTGTGGACTGGGGAGTTTGACTTTAGTTTTAATTTTAGCTCATTTGTTTAAAATTTTTGGCTCAAATTAGGATTTTTGTTTTGCTAAACGATATTACACGAATAACATGGTTTTGATAAAAGTTAATATCGCTAAAGGTTGGGGGCACAATTGACAATACATGAAATTTGATGGGTAAAATGCATTGCACAGAAACAAACAGGTGTCTAAATTTGTCTGACAACTGACTTACTTCTACTGTAGCTGTGGTATCATGTTTTATTTTATTGTTCCCCCCAATGTTATGTTCAGATTTCATGTTTCATGTCCGTCCACTGTTATACTTGTCTTATTATTAACATTTGATAAACATCTTCTATCAAATCTAACATTAGCTAAATACATAATAATAATAAAAACATTTGCAAATGCATTTTTTTCCCCACACTAATCACACGGTCTTCACACAGTCTACATATGATGAATCTCTTAAATGTGCTATAACCATGTTATTTCTGTTCACTGTCTTGGGTGTGCACGTGTGTGGGTGTGTTTGTGTGTGGGCGTGCGTGTGTGTGTGTTTTTGTTCATTCATGTTTGGCCCTTATTGTTACTGGCTAGACTGCTCCCATCCCCCTATCCACCCCATCGCAACTATAGCCACGGATGGGGCTGCAGGCATTAATGCCCCTGGCAGTGCCAGCCTAATTAATGGTAGGTCGATAAAACCTCTGATCTCTGATCTCTCTCTTGTGACTTTTGACCCCTCCTACCTTCTTCATTCTCAAACTGCCTCCTCCTACCGTGGGTGCTCATCTTTTGCTTTTCTCTCTGTTGTTTTGTACCTTTTTCGTATCCATGCTATCAGTGCATGCCATTATTATCTGTAGAAATTGTGTTTCTTGTTCTTCTCTATATGCTGTTGTTTGTCTTGTAAGAGTTTTAACGAATATAGCCATCATGGACACATTTCTAATGTTTTTCCTCTGCATGAATCTTTAAATTAAGACTAAAATAAATAAAAGTCCCCAGGTCCATGGGTCTCTATAATGTTGAAAAGCAAGGAAGATCTTTTGAGCCTTTTTATATTGTCAGGGATAACAAGAATAACATTAAAAGTGACTTCATTCTGTTTCTTGCTCAGAATCTGGTAAGAAAAAGGCATATAACATATAACCCCTGCAGTGTTGTTGCTACATATGAGTTTTTGAATGATTAGGCCAGGATTTACAAGGCACTTTTTTATTTTCAGACATAGACACACTAGTCTTTTTCCTATTTTATAGTCTAACTGACCTCTTGGCAATAAAATGGTGCATTTGGATAGTTTCCACATTTGAAACCCTTTCTTTAAATTGTACTCTTATTTTCCTTCATAGTTCAAATTTGATGTAATTGTTGAGATTTGAAAAAAAAAAAACACAGGTTGATGACTTATGGAAAAATCTTACAGTAGATCCAACCCCCTTTAGTCTGATGTCCCCTGAGGTCGCTTAGTGCAAATCCTCTATTTCTGTGTTAGCTGGACACAATGCAGTGGCACTGGGTTCTCTCTTATCTGTTTCCCCTTGGAGAGCAGCCCCAGTGTGTTTGTACCCAAGGCAGGAGTGGTAAGATTTGTGCTGTAATGGTGACCTTGTGCTATCCTGGGCTGGAACAAAGCGATTTGTCTTCAGCTTTATTGTGACTCCGGGGAAACTGGCTAAAGTGGAAGTGAAGGTGAAATGAACCAGCTCTGGACTGATGGTCTTACAGCTCTACCTGAACAATTTGTGACATTTATGTACAAATCCCTGAAAGACAGATTTGGTCAACTTTCTGGCCTGCCTTTCACCGACTCCAAAAATAATGGGATCAAAGCTGCAGTACAAAATAAAATGCTTCTTCTTTTTTTGGCACACTGTGTATCTATTTTGCTTGAAAGTGCAAGGCGCTTTACTAGATGCTTAGTCTTATCTTTCACCGGCTGCAAAATAATATATATTCTTACTTCTAACAAAGTCTTTCACAGCTCAATTAGACTACCCCCAAGTTGACTGTATAACTTAAAACAGCACTGTGCGATTAAACTGCACATTTAAATTAAGTTAACTCCTTTTGAGAAGAATCCAACAGCATAATAAATTCATTGTCTCCAAACTTATTTCAGTTTTCTTCCAGTTGTTCTTATGTAACTTCACCATGTGGGAGGCTTTCCCTTCAGGCTCTCTCTTTCTCCCTCTGTATTGTTCACATTTCCAGTCTGCTTCCCTTTAAGTGTGTGATCGTGTGATCTTGCATGCCTGAACTTTCCTCTTATGCATGCTGTCTCTTGTTTCTGTGTACTGTACGTGTGCTTTTGGTGTACCCTCTCTCACTGTCAGTGTTTGGTGTAATGCCTTATCTGCTGTTTGTCTTATATCTCATTTGATAACCCGACAATTTGATTCATGTTGTTGCTAATGTTGCGTGGAATTGCCTGTGCTCACAGTGTGAGTATGTCATTCAAAACAATACAAAGAAAATGAAGAGATTTTTTAAAAAGTGCAATTTTAAATGTGAATTTTACATCACACTTAATATACTTTGAATAATTTCTTTTTTTTTTTTAATTTTAGAAAGGCCCGTTAATTGATTTTAATTACCTAATTAATTTATTATGCAATGAAATAAAGTGTATCAAAACTATGGTTTCTCCCATTTTGTAGTAGTCTGCACAGCAGTATGTCAGTGATCTGTTAGAATAACCCGTTTAGTACATTTTAGTCTTTCTAACTCCTTGTCAGCTGTTGTAGCTACTAGTTGCATCACTTGCTTATCACAAGCCTTTCTATGTGACTGTCACAGAGATGTAATAAAAGTCATTTTCCTGTCTCCCTGTTTGTGAATTTTGGTTCTCATTGTTTGTGCTGTCTCTGTGGTGATAATTTGTTGACCTGTCTGCCTTGGTTATTTTTGTTGTTGTTGTCTTGTATGTCTCCATCATAGGTAAAATGCAAGATGGCAATATGGAGAGCAACCAGATTAAAGGTAACCAAACCATATCTTTCACTCTCTCCTCCTCCTCACCCTACTCCTCCTTCCTTTTCCTCTTCTCATCTCTTCCCTTTTATGGTGTGTAGCGTAAGCTCTGGGTCAAATCCAGGTTACTTTATTTTTATCAGCCCACATTGATCTTAATAATGGTCTCTCTAAGCGTTGTGCAGTGCTAATTCAGACTGGATTCTGCTCATTTTTGTGACTGAAGTCTATTGCAGGCTGAAGCCAATCCCAGACACTGTGTTGGAAGGAATTAGACCTTTTATTTGACCCAGGTTTTACCCACAGTCAAATTATGTTAGACATCCCGCTCTTTCCCACTGTCTGTCACTGCTGTGTTGTCCCTGGTCTGTTGTTCTGTTCTTCTTGTTGTTTTGTTGGCTCATCTTGGTCTTTCTGAGAAAATAGCAACCTGTCCCTCAACTATCCCCTGTCAGCCTTAGCCAAGTCGCCTTTTATCCAGGGACCCCGACAAGTGTCCTCTCTATAATAAAGTTTGCCTTACAGAATTTGATTTAAATTGGTGTCAGATTAAAGGGATCCTCTTTCATTTATATTTATTGTTTGGTCTCTGTAGGGGTGTGGGTAATGCTGATTTATATTATATCAGGTTAGACTTAGAAAGAAAGCACATAACACAAACACCATAGGGATTTCTTCAAATAGTGTAATGTGGCTGACAGTCACAAACCACTAGGCAATTAATTTCTCGAAAATATTAAACAAAAAACAAGCTGCTACTGCTCTCAGATTTTTCATACAAAGGTTTCATTAGAGGTATGTTAACCTTAGCTCTGCTGATTGATTTAGTAATGATGTAGTAGCTGCTTGTCACATGCTTATTTGATGATGTCAATAAAGGTGTGACAACATACAATAGAAATGATTAATTATTACATTGTTAAACTTTGTTAATCTTTCCATAAATATAGGAATTATGTAGAAAATAACTTAAAGAAGACTGTTTCATCAGTAAACAAGAAGCATTCAGAGAGTACAAACCAATGCCAAGCCAGCTCACACGAGGCAGTATTCATGTTTAAGAAAGCAGTCTTTTATTTTACATATATTCCATTTGCTTTCTTTGTTCTTTTTAAACTTACTTCAAGAAGTTTGTAGTGCAGTAAAAATAATGTACTTTGGGCAATTCTTAATCTTAATGTATAACAGTATAATTTAAGGCAGTAAAATTTTAAGCATATTTTTAAAGATCAAAGACATTTTATGAAAGATTGACCTTTTTTGACCTTGAAGATGAGGTCGGGGGTCCTGAAGTATTGTAATTTTAGAATCCTCATATATCATTCCTTATATGTTGTCAATGAAAACAATGGCAGTAAGAAAGATGGTTTTTATTAGCTCTTCATAGGATTATTGTCACTTTGACCTTCGGATCAATCTATTGACCTTGAAGTAAAGGTCAGAGGTGAAATGTGACATGATATATTAAATCTTGATATGGTGCTTTCTACATGTTGATATACACACCACACTTGTAAGAGTCATAGTTTCTAAGTTATAATGTTTTTAGTCAATTTTTGACCAATAAATTATTAAGTTGACCCTGAAGACTTTGGTGGATGTAAGCCAAACTGTAATGGATTGTTAACATGACCTTACTCTACACCCCTTAATGTAATGTAAGCATTTATTAGTGAAGGCGATGTGTATATTATATTCTATTTTATGCTTCTTGACAATATGGGTATCTGCAGGCCTTGATGTCATGGCAAATATAATAAAAGCATGGTTATATAGATTAACAGACACAAGCTGAAGAAAATCCATATCTTCAAAGAATAGGCACAAATACTTTCCTATAGTAAAACTGTGGGGTGTGGTATGATTACGATGATAATTATTGCTAGAACGCTATTTAAAGAACAAACAGTCTCTTTCAGAAGATGAACTTTAGTCAAGAGTGTGTTTTAATTTTAAGTAATGCTCTTCTCCTGAATCCACCTGGATACAGGCGATATACTCTGTCTTGTGTCGAGGGGGTGAAAAAAACAAAATGCGCAACTGGAGAGTATGACAAATGCTCAACATTAAAAGGTTTTTCATGACCATCAAACAAATGCCTCATTGTGATTGGGAAACTGGGTTGAAATGATTCTTGGTAATGGCTTACATTAACAGAGAGGTTCACTTCATGTGTCTTTTCAAGGGGAGAGCACAAGAGATGGGGTAAGGTAATTGTGGACTGGTTTTACTGCCTAAGAGGGTCCCCCCCCC